ACTGAATTGAGTGACATGTCACTGTACAATTTGTACTGTAAATAGGAACTTTCTGGAACATAAAAGTGTTAAAAGAAGAAAACCCTTTCAAGGAGAGAGTTGGCTAAATGAAATCCCTATGGTATAAAACTATATTTAATTAGTCACATTATTCTGACAGGTAATTAAATCCCTGAGAGATGATCACTGATAAGTCCTGCACCATGCTAATCAAACACCTGTTGACACATTTAATGGCAATCAAAACCAATAAACTCAAATATATTCATTAATTCTCTAAAAAGGAAATTCCCAAGCAAAGAAATGACTGTGACTGTGGGACGTTTGTCTGTATGGTAAGAAAAAGCCATTACACATCTTTACATATTGTCATCATGCACTGTAAGTCGGCAATGTGCACCTGCATTTAGATATTTTTCTGACAAATAGCCGATTATCACATCTTTTACGTAAGTTTTATTAGTAACATTTTTCATAATAAGTATGAGGCTGGTAGTTGTTGACAGTATTATTTTAAACTTTCTATCAAATTATTCAGAAAACCAGACAATAATGTGATGCCGTGATTGAAGTTAACTTGCATTTAGCTGATAAAAGCAATACTTTTCAATGTTAGTTTGCAGAGCACTTGAGCCGTGGGGAAGTTCCTAATTTTAATCAGGTGAATACAAAAAAAAAAAGGTTTTTATTATAAATAAACATAGTTATTTTACGTATACTATTAATTTACCATTTTTGTTCCTAATAAATCATATGACACCAGGAGCCTCTGATTACACTAAAAAAATTACATACTTAATAATATGTAAGAAAAGAAACACTGAACTATAGTGTTTTCTGTAGTTTTAGTCAATTGGCTTATTACCATTGTTTTTCTTGTATCTTTATTAGATTATTATTACTATTATTCTTTATTAGATTATTATTCTTGTATCTTTATTAGATTATTATTAGAATGATATGCCACTCCTGAGAAGAACACTTGAGGAGCAATTGCTGCAAACTGTTCTGTGATGGGTTTCATAACAGACAAGCAATTTAAACTATTTGCTGTTGGAAATGAACTTGAAATAAACCCAAACAATTTCCAATCTTCAGCATTATGCAGTGCAAATACAAAAAAATTTAAATACAGTATTTCACCCTTTCACTCCCAAGATCTGAAAGTTAATTCTCCGAACCAGAACCATACATTTTGTGCTGATTGGTCCTGAGAAATTTGGAGTTATATCAAGCCCACCTTGTTGATAATTTTCTTCATTCTTGTTACCCGTCTGCCTTCGAAATCGTAAGGCTAATTTACATACCGATCACTCCCAGGAGTCAAAAGTCTTAAGATTTGCCTCCAATTTATATGATGCATTGTCTGTTAACACAGCATTGTTACTAACGCTTTTCCCTACGATGAAAAGTTTGAATGATAATTTTAGGATGAGTATCAGCCCCCCGCCCCCGCCGCTCCCCCTTATGGAATGTCATCATGTATCGCGTTTTTCAAATTTTTTTATGATAAAACACGCAGTGAAGAACCTCTTATGCTAGGGCTTGACAAAGAAACGGAACTAACTACAGCCAACGTTTAGCTCAGGTCGGCAACGGTTACTTGACACTAAAAAATAACAAACACCGATTGCGGTATCTTACCTCCTTTACTTAGATGTTAATTCCCAGCGTGTCCTCCGTTCGGTAGGTGTTACAATAATACTTTCATGGATACAACGCCGAACACAATAAATATGCGATTACTTTTTCCGAAATCGCACGATTAATGAAATTTACCCTAGTAAATGAGTAAGTTGGACCCCATTGGATTACACAAAGTACGTGAATATAATCCAGACCGTGTAAGAACGAAATTGTTTTGACAAATGTATTTCTCAACTTCCGTTACAATCTCCCCGTACAGGAGACGTCTTCGTAGATGTGACCTCCTGTTGGTCGATGTTACTTTGACGCGACCGAGCTGAATACCTTGCGTGACCTACAATCGGCTGTTCTTTTTGCGTGACCTGCAATTGGCCGTTCTTTTTGCGTGACCTGCGATCTGCTGTTCTTTTTGCGTGACCTGCGATTGGCCGTTCTTTTTACAGGGAGCACCCAACTCTGCAGTACGGAGCAAACCAGTTGGACTAAA